TTTTTCTTTTGGTGGGTTCGAATCCCATATTATCCACATAAAATTTGTCTTTTTTTTATATACATTTTTTTATTAGATTTAAATCTCCGACAATTGACGTAATCCGTTTAAGTGAAATTTTATTCATTCCTAGTCGGTTGCTTATAAGCCTGTATAAGTTCGATCAGACGTTATCAGTCATATAAGCAATATCGATCCGYAAAAGTAGACCTATGCTTTCCTATCTTTCCTGGCAAAGTTTACTGACAAGAACATTTACTGCACTTGGATCATCATAGTCTATGCCCACAAAGAACTAGTGGATGGTGCCGTGAAGACTTCTGGGTACTATTGCACTATTTTGGTGATTCTGACTGAGAACATTTGGATATTTGATCTTGTTGCGTCATGGCGCAAGATCAAATTCACAAGTAGTGTGACATGCATAACGCAAAACTGTTTATTTCGTGGTCTAAAAAAGGGCAGAACCTGCAAATATTTTAATGTCATGTAGAGAACACCTTAACAGAGAAGATCGTCTTAAACAAGTTAAACGAAATCATTCTTTTCTTTGAAATATTCCATTATCTTTTGACTAACGTTGCAACGAGGTATCTTGCGCTTCTATTGGTTTAGTAAGAAATCCTGTAAGCCACAAGACCGCGAATTTTATTATTACGTACATTAGTCTTCATTACTTCTGTCAAATGTCGGTCCTGAATCGTTCGGCTTTAATTGATCAATTTAGGAGTAAACCGCCTTCATGATTATAAGATCAACAGAAAAAAACAAGATCCAAACACCTGGAGTTTGTCTAGTTTTGATCAAAYACACTATAATTTTGAAGTGGGAAAATGGCTAAGTTTCTTAAATTAAGGTTTTCAACGAGTTTTAAGCTCCTCACAGCTGTGTTCAGTATCAGGAAAATCCACGGGAAATCTATCCTTTTCTTTTTCAGGGACTTTCATAAAGTTGGAATGATAATGTTTCTCAAGTTGACTTCGCCAATTTTTTGGCACTGGAAACAAAAACCCTTCAAATTCCATCTGTTTTAAAGGAAAAATTTCTGGATCTTTAGTATCTTGAACAAAAATATCAATCATCATTCCATCATGCCAAGCACAACCATATTGCATACAATACTTATAACAACTTTTTGTGTCTCTTAGTCGAGGGTTCCAACTTCGTCTATAAATTCCAACAACGTCGTGAGAATAGCGTGATGCCTCTACAGGATTTGATGGTCTAAGGGAAGGGTCAGAAATAGAATTTTGAAAGAAAATATCTTCCGGTAAATCCTTGGCAGCAGATTGAAAGAACTTGATGTAATCTCGTAAGGTGATTTCCACGTCGTTATCGGTATCCCAAGGAATATTACCTTTATGTCTTGCAGCTCCAAGGAGAGTTCCACCAGTTAACCAGTATGAAATATTATGCTTCTTGCAAACTAAGTCAAAGATCCTTAACATTCTAGTGGTGATAAGCTGTCCTTGCCTGTGTGGATTGTTGGCTTTAAGACGAATGTCTGGACAATGAAACGTAGAATTGTCGAACATTCTACACTCCCCTCCTAACTGAGTATAGCTTTTTGGGCACATTTCACCATATTTGAAAGGTAGATGACAATAACTCGAATAATTGCCATCAAAACCGCGTCTTATGTCAACATTTTCAATGGCGATTTGGCTTTTATGAATAGGATTTTTTCCAAGAAGGCTCGATAGCTCACCTTCAATGGTTGTTTTGTTAAGTTTTTCAAAATTCCTATCCCCAAAAACAGCTTTATTAATAAGAGCTCCTTCTTCATGACCAAGCTTCAGAGGCGCCGAGYGTTTTGATGAACTTTTCAGTCGAGCTTCTACTGAGAACGAATTTAAATAATTCTCTCTTATTTTGCCCATGAATTCCACCTTGGTTCTCTTCTCTGCTGAATAAAGTTTATCATCGTTTCTTTTCGTTTGGTTGGAAAGAGATTTGACGCCATATAATTTCTTCGGCTGATCTTGAGATTTTACGCGGGAGTTAGAAAATCGATGGACGTTTTGTCTCGCTATGAATGAAAACTTCACAGTCTTTGGAATAGATTTAAATGAAATACCAAAGAAGACTGTAGCATAGAGTACCACAATTGCAAGGAGGATGAGTATGAATACTTTTCGTCTCCTTAACATGTTTAAAGCTTCTAAACTTTCAACAAGCTTTAAAACATTTCTTTAGCTGTCACAGAATGACTGTCTTGTACACAGGGAACCCACTATAGGTAGAACGGAAGCCCTGGAGGGACATTTCAGACTTCAGACTTAGGATATTTCAGACTTCGGACTTCGAATATTTCAATTGAACAAGTTGAACTGGTACTGAACTGGTACAGGTTTAGCTTTCTAGAAGAGTGCAAAGCCTGGACATTGAGTCCCGTTCCTCTTGGTCAGCACGACAACGCGCTTTTCACACGAATCCCAGGCAAAGCAATTTCAATATTTGAAATTTACTTATTATAATGAGAATTATATTAGGAAAATATAATCAGAAATTTGAAGTTTCAACTCTGAAGTCTGAAATTTAGGCTTCAACTCTGAAGTGTGACACTGAACTCTGACACACAATTAGGCTTCAACTCTGAAGCCTGAAATCATAAATCAATGAATGACAGTGAAGTCATTGGAACCTGGATGTAACCGCATAAAATTGAATGATTCATATTCGACCAGAATTCGAAACTCGAAAATGTAAACATAAGGCTGGACAGCGCTGGCTGAAGTCCGGAGTCTGAAATATGCTAAGTCTGAAGTCTGAAGTCTGAAATGTCCCTCCAGGGCTTCCGTTATACGCTACGGAATGAACATACAATACAAACACTACATTTCTGTAATACCTTGAACTAATAAAATAAACTAAAATAAACAAATAAACGAAATAAATAAAGTAAAATAAATCAAAATAAAATTTTGACATTTCTTTTTTCTTTTTTTTTTTTTTTTTCTTTTGCCTATCTGCAAACGCTATAACGCGCGCCTGAGGGGATTTTTCCCAAATGATGGGATAAAACTAGAAACTTTACAGGATTAATATAAACCTAACTCAGCTCTAAACCGTTATTATTTCTATCATTTAGGTCTCTATCACGGTGTTTATCTTATTGTTCCAGGATTTCATAATCTTTTTGAATTTGCATGAGTTTTATTAGAGATTCGATAGGTACTAGTAGAGGGTGATCATTGATTGACAACCTAAATTTAAATGAAAATGACCAATACTTGGTGCACATAAAGTTCCAGAAATGAACATTATTTCTGTTTACTAGATAGTGTTATGGGTTTTTTGGGTTTTCAGGGGTGCTTAATGTTGTCATAGCAACGGCAGTTAATAGAATCATTGCCATCAAAACCGCGTCTTATGTCAACATTTTCAATGGCGATTTGGTTTTTATGAATACGATTTTCTCCAAAAAGGCTCGATAGTTCACTTTTAAATTCCTATCACCAAAAATAGCTTTATTAATAAAAGCTCCTTCGTCATGACCAAGATTAAGCTTCATCGGCGCCGAGTGTTTTGATGAACTTTTCAGTCGAGCTTCTACTGAAAAATTGAAATCATTCTCTCTTATTTTTGTTGAATAAAGTTCATCGTTTCTTTTCGTTTCGTTGGAAAGAGATTTGACGCCATATTTCTTCGGGCTGATCTTCGGATGGTCGATTTGGAATTCCGAAGGCTGAGAGAAGTGTCTGTCTGTCATGAAGGCCCGATGGCGGGTTAATATATGCATACGCGGTGCATCATGGGATCTCATTGTCATGTGTGTTTGTTTTATTATGAGCAGCGTTATATGCCAAAAATTAAATTCTCTCAAAAGACACGGCGGCTATATTGGATGATATATACATATCAAAAGAATCATTTTCAGTAAATTTATCTAAGATGGCGGCTATGACGTCATGTGCAAACGAAGAATGTTTCTTCTCATGCTCCAGTCTCAAGATCAACCAAGATAAAGTCCAAGATAAACAGAGATTTGTCGATCTACCAACATTCTGAAATTTTAGCGAGTTTATTATTTTTGATGCATCGGACGGTAACGCCTTATGAAATAAAAACTTTTGCTGAAGGTTGCCGTTGACAACATCAAAAAAATCTTCCAATTTTATAAGAGTAGTCTTTTTAAAAAAAACTCCATATCCTCTATACATTCCCTGCTCGGTCATGTTCAGGAGCTTAATGGACCTAAGCCAGAGCTTGTTCACAAGAGCAACGCAAACGCAAGCAAATTTACTTGTGAACGACAGTATACGCAAAGGCAACACCAAAATCAAAACAAACACTCCTGCACTGTGCGTATTGTTATAGTCATAGCACATGACCACGAATCTCTAGCACGATGCATGATGGGAAACCGAGTACTTACGCTTTCGGCCGACAATTTTTCCTTCGACATTTTGTATAGAAATGTAAGTATTTCAACAGACAAAAACGACAAAGTATCTTTTTTCTTATAGTTCCTTCGATTTCCCTTTTCCATGTTTTCAGTACTCGGTTTCCCGAGTGCTTTGTGAGCTTTGATACACATTACTTGCGCGCGCTTGCGTTTGCGTAGCTTGTGTGAACGATTTCAGATAAGCTGGAAAGTCCCAACCCTCATCTTCTTCGAAATTATAATAAGTTGAGAACAACACAATGCAAACTATTAAGTATAAAATTGAAATGAATTATTTACAATTTATAGCCTTTTGATTACTCAGTGAGGTCATTACATTTTTGAATCACGACTTCAAGCTGTAGGAAAGTGCAAAAATGATATTAAATTAATACGATCACTAAGAATAATAATATGAAAGATTTCAAATAGTAATATTAAAATACTGATATCTCTTTTGATCAGAATGCAAAAGGGATATCAGTTTTCATGGGGTTCGGGGGGTCTGGCGAGGTGGTATATGACTTTGGTGTAAAATCTAAAAAATAATTCCTTGGCCTAAACACCGATTTTAACTAAGGCTGATCTTTCTACAACAGCCAATCCYAACCAATCTGATCTAAGGAATTTATCGGTAACGCCTACACCCCTGACCACCTTGACCACGCCCCAGTTTGATAGCAAACTGCCTAGCAATTCCCAGTGAAATGCATTTTTTGACAACATGATAATTTCCAATTTCCCTTTTTACCTTTCCATAAAATATTTTGCACAATTAAAAAATGTGTCGTTCAGAAGATACTTGGTGACTTGTTAGCTAGGATGGATTTAATTTATCTCCTTGATTTTGAAATTGAAGCTATCATTTATCGAGAAAATGGGTTGTAAACCAAAGCATATCGTGCACCAAAGTAGTCTCTCGCTGTTTTCTATTATAAAAATTGTCTGGACATCGATATTTTAGAAAACAGCTGGTCTAAAACTTATTTAAAAAATCGTGTATTGACTTGGACTAAAACCTAAATAAGGACCACTAAATCTGTGCATACTCTAAGCTTCACCTATATACATGCAAACATATACATATATATTTACATCATAAGTTAGTATGTTTTAAAAACGTTTTGTCTGGAAAAATAAAAATGATAACGAGACGTAAGTGAAAATTGTATACGTCACCCACGAAGTAATTTAGAATGATTCCAATTTTATAAATTTATGCCCCATTGTATTGAATGGGATTTGATGTAAAAACAACATTGCTTGATCCTCTTTATATTCCTAATTACCAAAGCTGTTTAAATTATTTTAAGAAATTAACTTTTTGAAGTTTGCTCTCAGGAACTGACCGTAAATGACGAAGGAGATGGAGCAGTGAGTGGAAAATTGGCCTTTTGAAGTCAGGGTAGAAAGTGAATAAAAAATATCAGTGAAACGACCTGATGAACGACGAGTGATCTGGTGAAACGAATGATCAAAGTCAGAGCACGGCTGACTCAGATATCGAATTACAATTTAGCGGAATTTGAGGGAGGAAAACTGAAGAGCCCGTAGAAAAACCCTCGAATCAATGAAGACCTAACAAACTCTATTCACACGTGAAACCAAGTCCAGGAATCAAACCCGAGACCCCAGAGGTCGGAGGCTAGTAATACTACTACACCACCCTCACTTGCTTCCCACTTTATGCAAAGTAGAAACAACAGACTTAACATCRGAAGCCCCTTCACCGGGAAGTGATCTTCAAAGTAGTCAACAGTGCGCCTTTTACCCTTCTTTTTCCATCAGAGGTTTGTTTAAAGGGTTTTTAAAGCTACACGGGCTAGTGTAAAGACCAAACAACTGGGGATCAGACTATGGAACTCTTGGTTTGCTATCAGCATATTTAACAACCATGCTAAGAAAGTATATAAGGCCTTCAAGATTTTCATGCTTTATGACAAAGAATCTCCTCACCCACCCTTCTCTGGTACGTAATTTATGGCCAGTTCCTAAGGGCTCTCTGAAATAAATTCTACAAATTGTACCACTTGAAAACCTACGAGTAAAAAGGCATAGATAGCAAGTCTATGGGACAAGYTGACTCGCTGCTCGAATAGAACAGAATGAAAATTCTTTCCTCATGGTAAGAAATCTAATTAAGTCTTCCACTTGTCTCTTTAACTTGCTTATCACGAGAGTCACCCCTCAAAACAAGAAGTAAATGGTTTGTTCGAACCTCGAGATTAATTTACTTGTTTATCGCACCCATTTTTTAGAAATACGCGACCTGCACAATCCGGCAGTTACGTCGCGAAATTATGACAATGAGTATACGGCATTAACGAGGTACAGCAATGATAGAGTTGCGGGTTAGAGCTATAAAAACCTCGATATAGCATAAGATTACCTTAGACAAATTAAATAAAATATATTGGTTCAATATCAGCATTGTTTTCTACATCAAAGGCGCAAATCAGATAAGAGCTTCTGAAGGTCTTACTACTGTACAAGGTTGCGAAGGACATCTATGTAGGCGATGTTTCTTCGGTAAACGTTCTATTAGTTTGAGGATTTCACTAAACGAAGGTCGTGAATTTGGAACGTAAGCCCAGCATACGATAAGCGCTTCCTGTGATATAGAGAAGAGTAAAAAGAAACGTGAAAAGATACTCCATGAAGCAAGATTGGGAGACAGTTTCTTCATTTGATGCTGCTTCGTCTCCCTCTCGCTCTCTCAACCTTCTCTTTCCTTCTACTTCCCTCTCTCCCCTCTCTCTCCCTTCATTCTTCCCTCTCTCGTTCCTTCCTTCCGTTCATAAATCCTCATGAAGAGTAGAGAAAAAATATACTCTCTTACCTTAACCTCTGAGGGAAGATCAAAAGAGTTGAGCGATGGCTTGCAGCCTTTACCAACTTGGTAAATAATCGTTTCTGGAAACAGTTTCTTCCACGGCCAGGCACCGGCACACATTTCATACCAAACGGTCCTGCAAATAAACAACAACGCATCAGGAACAGAGTCAGCGTGTGTATGAATGGGATGACTTACAATTACTTATGTACCCAATGATTGGTCGACCAGTTGACTAATCATAAGGCAACTACTATTCTCCTATAACGTTTAAGCACAAACACCTTAGTCGGGATGAAAGATTATCCAGTCACTAGGCACCCCATTTTTATTACAGACAAAAAGCTTAAAAGCAATAAAGCTCCATTTGATTGGTCGACATATGAAGATGGCCAACCAATCACAATGCCGCTACAATGCCCCAATAACAATGTAAAATATGTATATCTTTGCGGGAGAAAATAGTAACGGGTTCTATAGACCCCTTGCATTGAATTCCTAGAGGAATTGTTCTGGGAGACAAAACAGTAGGGCCTCTTTTCTTATGCATAGAAAATCCATTATTTTTCCCCCCAGAACGATTCCTCGAGGGACCCAGTGCAAAGGGTCTATTGCTGACTTACCCAAATGCATAGACATCCGACTTGAATGTAAAGGTATTAAGATCAGGCGCATCTTGTGTAGTATTCAATGTTCGCATGATTTCTGGCGCCAAATAATAGAGCCACCCACGAGGAACCATTAGGYAGTTGGGCCTAAAGATAACAAATATCGGAAAAAACATGACATTGGGCTCCCTTTGGTGCGCAAAGGAAGTCAGGAAAATCTTTTCCTAATCCCCCCCAACCATCAAAAAAGGGATGAGCGCGCAATCGCCATTCTGAAGTTCTTGACGTCGGGGTTTTTAATTCTCGGGTTCCCTTGACGTCATTTCCTGTCTCGTGCGGAATGTTCATCAGCTGAATCAAATTTTCAGTGGCATTCATTGAGGCTGACAGCACACGGTGGTCAGTTTTGACAATCATTTGGATCAGATATTGAGATTCAAARACTTTTATAAGCTGATTGATGGCAAGCATTTGGCATACCTTGCAGACTTGACAGTTAATCCCGCGACGCTGTACAAACCAAAATCTGTTATCACCGCTTTGCTGTTCAATTCTAAAAACACGTTTTTGGATCGCAGGTCGGTGTGAACGATTCCTCTGGCATGAAGGTACCCCATTCCCTAAAAAGAAGAATATGAGAAATAATTATACTATGAGCTACTGATTCCTATTAGACCAGAACGGTACCCTGTTACAGCCACTGAGCTAATCAACGTTCAAATTGGAGTTTAGCATGTCAGGTCTCGTAGAGGGATTCCTATTAGACCAGAACAACGGTACCCTGTAACAGCCACTGGGCTGATCAAAGGTCAAATGGGAATTTAGCATGTTAGGTCTTGCAGAGGGATTCCTATTAGACCAGAACAACGGTACCCTGAAACAGCCTCTGGGCTGATCAAAGTCGGAGTACAGCTTACTCTCAGGTCAAATTGGAACTTAGCATGTCAGGTTTTGCAGAGGGATGAAAACCGGAGAACCACGAGAAAAACCCTCAAATCAAGGGCGACCTAACAAACTTACTCACATGTGATGCCGTGTCCAGGAATTGAACCTGAGACCGCAGATGTGAGAGGCGAGTGTACTGCCGGTACGTCAACCTTATACAACAAATATACTAGTCTTTCTTACACACCTGAGCAATCTGTGTCGTGATTTGAGCAATCTTAGTGAGAGGAAAATTATCCTTCCTGATATGCACATGCGTGTAGAGAGAGTTACCTCGACAAAGGCTGAGAAGAAAGATTGAAAAATATAGTTGCATTAATACGTGGGATACATGCAGAACACAATATAGTTCTTTTTGTCATTCAACGGTATACCGCTGTTTTTGATGATCACAGACTCATATATAAAGGTTTAGTCTCGTTTTGAAGTTAAGTTGTTCATAGGCATTTGAACACCTTTTTCTGTTGCTATAATTATAGATTTCTTCTAGTTGTGAATATAGCAATTACGTTTGTATGTTTGAATTTAGTAATGTATTCTTTTCCTACCGGCCCTATGTTAGATAACTATTGTAAATGTAAATGAAAACGTCTTATCCCTCTCGAAATAAAGTCTTCAAATGAAATCCAATCAAAGGCCATGGAATTTCAAAACACTGTTATCGTTGACGTTGTTTATTTTTCACATTACATGTGCGCTTGACTTTTATGAATGWTTTACTCTTAAACCAGGCTGAACCTGTAAAATACTAGTCTTTATTATTAGATAATGCGACTCCATTGTACTGCGAACTAGATAGCTGCAAGCTGCAGGCTGAAGTTTGGTTTTTCGCTACCGTCAATCCAAAATAATCAGTCTGTACATTTTATGTTCTTGACTGGAGGCAGTAAAAACCAATTTTACAACAAGCCGTGGAAATATTCGAGTTCGTAGAATATTGCGAAACGCAGGGAAATATCCAGTGTTATTCACGGATGAGAAAATGGACTACTGATCCATTGCTTTCACTGCTAATGAGTGACATACATACCTGGTAATAATAGCTAATTTAGGAGGATCCATACAGGCACCCATGAAAAGTACAGTGTTGTCATGACGAGTCTTGCGAAATGTTGTAACCTGTGGCGAAAAGTAAAATACATTACATGTTGCTCATAGCACCACTTTGTTCGCAGCAAATTTACAGTGTTGCGCGAGCAATTCTTGCACAATCTTGTTTCCTGCATTACCACATTTTTTTCTTCGTTCGTAGCAAACTTGCATTGTTCTGCAATCCTTGCGCAATCCTGATTTGTCACATTTTTCTTCGTTTCCGGAAAATTTGCGCAATTCTTTTGCAACCTTATTTCCTGCATTACCGCATATTTTTCTTCGTTGCAGCAAATTTGCAGTGTTGCGCAGTTCTTGTGCAATCTTATTTCCTGCATTACCACATCTTTTTCTTCGTTCGCAGAAAATTTGCGCAATACTTGCGCAATCTTATTTCCTGCATTACCGCATATTTTTCTTCATTTGCAGCAAATTTGCAGTGTTGCGTAGTTCTTGTGCAATCTTATTTCTTGCATTACTAAAACTTCTTCTTCGTTGGCAGTAAATTTGCACAGTTGCGCAATGATATTTCCTGCAATACCGCATCTTTTTCTTAGTTAACAGCACGTTCGTAGGGTCGCACCATTCTTGCGCAATCTTATCTTATTTCCTGCATTACATCTTTTTCTTAGTTTGTCAGCAAATTTTCATTGTCGCGCAATTCTTCGCAATTTTCAGTACTTCCTGCATAACTTTTTTCTTTGAACTTTTCTCTAAACTGACCTGAAATTTAAATGCATTGAGCTGCTCCTCGGTAGGATTATCAATCTCGATCATCTTTATCGCTACTTCACCATGCCATTTACCACGATACACTTTACCAAAGCGCCCAGACCCAAGCTCGTTATAAATTTCCAGCTCTTCAAATGGCACCACCCATTCTGACATCAGACTGCCTCGAGTCTATGAGAAAACAAGAGTAAAATACTTAGTTGAGAATAAAGATACATCAGTCAAGGTGATGGTACCGGCCTGATATTTAGCGACAACTTCCTCGATTTCCATTAGTCATTCTTTTCGTTATTTACTTTCTTTCAATGTTTTTTTTTTCGCCCATTCTATTTTTTATGCAATGTCTTTTTTTCTACATTGGCCTTCCGTTTCATACTTTACTTTCCGAGTTTTCACCATTTGTTTCTGCTTCTACGTTTTCCTTTTCTTCCCTCCTTTCCTTTCCTATTTTTTTTTTCTATTTCACTTTCCTATTTCTTTATTTCACTTTTCTCCCATTCCATTCCTATCTTTCACTTTCCGTTTTTCTAGAACTTCGTGTTCGTTATTCCTTTTTCATTCTTTCCTTTTCTTTTTTTCTTTTTTCCTTTCCTTTTTTGGGTATACTATCGCAGGAACGATAACTTGAAATGCACTCAAAACTACAACCATCAAAAACATCATTACTCCACATAAAAATAGGTATGGTACCAGCACCTTGAACTTCGCGATAAACAACTTCAAATTTAAGAATTACAATTTCAGTCAACGTCTCAAGTTTCTCTCCCAAACTGTTTATCTTCCGTTTGTGAGCAAAAATTTTGCAGAAATTCATTTTTTGATTTTAAATTAAAAAGATTTTAGGATATAACAAGTTCGATTCGTTTGTTTAAGGAAATCATAAATCACATCAGATTTTAAAATGATTTTAAGGTCTTTGTCTGTCGTTAGAAAGAGTATATTAGGCTGTGTTCACTTACGTGTAGATCCAACAACATGTAGGCCTTGCCGAATGCACGTGACGATGCCGCCTTTAGATTAACGAGTTGGTTAGTTGACTTATATACGTATTTAATAGGGTAGGTTAGGTGAACATTGAAAACAACAGCATATAAGGCATGGTGGACAAAACATGTTTGTACCCGAGCTATACCACAATGCACTCTGTTCGCTATCTCAGAAAAGGTCACACATGTGCTGTGTGCTGTTGTTTTCAAACAGATTAACAAATCAAGTTATAAATATTATGGAAGATAGTTGTTAGGTCATATGTGCCTCGTTAATGATTTAATATAATCATAATAACATTTACAACAATTTATACACAGAATAACTTAAAGTTTTAAGGGTTACATTTGAAAGCATTTTATTTGTTTATCCCAGTAACTTGAAGTCTCCCTTGAGGTAACAACCTACCCCCCCCCCCCCCACTAACGATGATGGCCCATTTAAAAGGCTCGCCCTTTGCGACAAACAGTCACGTGCTGATAAATCACTTTGATAACGAATCAATTCAGCCCAAGGTACCTTGTGGAAGGCTCTGCTGGATGGCAAACATACTTTAAATTGCTTCGTATCTTCAAATCGAAACTTTCTTATAAGAGAAGAAAGTATTTTGAAAAAAGGTTTGGGATATGACATTAGTAATCCAGCAAAAGTTATTTTAAATAC